CATTTGTATATCATACCCGAGTTATGCATCTTCGGTTGATGTTCTAAGTTTTGTTCATGTTGTAATTTTAAGTTATGGGTTATTCTTTTGTCCAAAAACTTCTCAGTTCAGTTTATTAAGAATTGCTGCAATGTGTTGGAAAAAAAATAAATATATATATATAATATTAAAAAAAAATGTAAGGAGTAAATGACTTTCAAAAATTTCTGATAATGTGATAAAAAATAAAATAGATAAATTTCTCTGTAAATTAAAGACCAATTTCACTAGTACAACACTCAGTACAGATTGACAGGTCATATGAGCAATGTATCCATGCTAGAAATAGAAGTATTTGTTGGAAGCAAATAATACATGAAATGTGGTAATACACGTATTCACTCAAAACAGTTTTATGGTCTATACAAGTGGAAAAAGATAAAAAAATTAAAGTATTCCTTAGAGCTGTTGCATTTTGAAATATATGTTTTAAGTTAAAAACTGTGAATAGTGCATGTGTCATGATAAGTCTTAAGTTTAAAAAATACAATAAATTGTAACTTTACAAGTTAAGTTTTACATTTTTAAATCTGAACTTAATGTGTTCAGAATTCTATGATGATTAAAGGGATTTTACTAGGAAGTTTGGTTTGTTTATAATTTGAATAAAATTAGACGTGTTGGAGCTGTTGAAAGATTCCTTGCATCTTCACTTCATTATATGCGTACCTTGAACATTCAAACGAAAAATATTTTGTGGATAGACTTTATTACCATTATTTTTCTTAATCCATTGAAGTGATCTGAAATTTTTCATCCTTTGTTTGTTTTTATTTGATTTGTTGTTCACTTTACTCTTTCATTTATAGCAGGTATAACATTTCATATTTAGACTTAACTAACATACTCGTAAATGGTTGTGTGCAAAAATCCTATTATAAACAACAGGACTTTGACAAAACAATATTGAAACAATTCTTAGACAATCATCTTTTCATAACTCAAATATAAGGGATTTCCTTTAATATAAGTTAATGACATCTCCAACAGTTCCATATATGTTTTTATTTCAACCAGTCAATTGGCTTGTTATTTATTGCCATATTTGGATTGGAAGACATTCCAAAGCCAGTTTCTGGTGACATTATCAACTACTCTATTAATTATTTTAAGCCATCCACAAGTAACTTCAGCACAGAATTAATAAACATCATTTTTGTTGTTCCTCCTCTTATTTTTAAAAACAAACATAGTTTCATCGTAATTTATGCTTCAAAGTGAGATGTACATCCTTGGGAAAATTGATCACTAGTCCAGCTCAAAACTCCAACCACTGTTTAAGCCAGTTATGTGCATAATTTTTATTTATATATCCTTCTTTAAACTCTTTATAAGTTCAATTATAACAGTTTCTGTTGTTCTGTATGAGATACCTTTTTCACTCAAAGTAATTCATGTACAAATAATACAATAGTCATATCACGAAGATTGGAAACATAACATAAAATGTGCTATGCTTAGAGAAGAATTTTTTGGAATAATTCACTCAAAGTAATGTTTGTTCTAATTATTCCTGTGCTTCCTATATTTGTTATTTCAGTCACCTTTGATAATGCCATTTTGCTTATTTAAAGATTTCAATATTTCTCCTGAGTGTCTGAATTACACTATATCTGCTCTCAGTGGCTTTAATATATGACTTAATGATGTTCCTCTGATGTTTCTTGTTAGACACATGTAATACATGAAAAGTATCTGAATCGCATTGTGTCAGTTCCAACGGCAGCTTCGATATGTGACACAATCGTATTCATTTCTTGTTTTTTGTCACATACAAATATATATTATATGGTCAGTGTTTGAATTGTACTGTGTCAATTCCAACAGCAACTTCAAATATGACATAGTCATGGTTTTTGTTATATACGTATATATTCCATGATGAATGTTTCACTAGTGCTGTGTCACCTCCAACAGGGACATCAGTACATGATATAATCATGTTTCTTTGTCTTTTCCTGTTATATATATTTTTTATGGTCAATATTTGAATTGCCTTATATCATCTCCAACATTGGCTTCAATATGTAACATAATTATTTCTTTATTGTTTTTGTTAGTAATTATACATATATTTCATGGTTAATGTTTGAATAGCAGTGTGTCATTTCCAACAGTGGTCTTAATACATGACAATCATGGTTCTTTGTCAATTCTTGTCATACACATATATTTCTTAGGTTTTATTTGAATTGCACTGTGCCAGTTCCAACAGAGACTTCAATACCTGACATAATCGTGTACCTTTGATATTTCTTATTCTTTACGTTTAATCCAATTATTAATATTGTATACTCATTTCAGTCATAATTTAATATAAGGAATTAACTATTATTGTAGCATTTAATCACATATGTATGAATATAATTACAGTTAATGATATGAACATTTGGATTTTGAAGGGGTGATCAGTTTATACTAGGCTATGTGCTAAAACTACACAGCTCGTATAATAGTAAATTGCCTTGCTAGATGACATAATTTAGCAGTTTAGTCACTTTTGTAAACAATTTAGTGTTTTTTATTTAAGGATTAAAGTTGGCAGCTTTGAAATTTCCTCAAGGACTGATTGTTGGCACACTACCAAAGTCGTGCATTCCTCAAAGAAACTCGCCAGCTAAGAAAAGGATGACTCTTAGTGCCCGATCTTCTATAAGTAACAATGAACCATCTACTCCAAAGCTCAATTCTCTACTTCAGTTAGGACACAGTACAAAAAACCATCTTACCTCAGCAGATATCCTTTTGTTTGATCAAGCTATAAAAGAAAGAAGGTTCCAGTAGCTTTGTATAAGCCATGAAAAGAAGCTGTTTTTCTTACTAAATCATTTTTTTTTCATCCTTACAATACATTTCATTGTGGTGGGATCACAGTAGCATTGTGAGACAATGCTAACAGTTCCCACCACTAACATTTGATTTTATTACTCATCAGTATCTTTACCAGCCTACCTCAAATTGAAATTCTTTTAGGCAGGATCAGAGTAAATTAATCTATAAGATCTTGGGCATGGTCAAATACGTCAATCGAACGAGTTTGACCTTCTCAGTTAAAAATTGTAATTATATATCAAATCGGTCAAGAGATGATGGATCCATGAGCTAAAAGTTTATACTTGAAAAAAATAAACAAACTCAGAGCTGTTTTATGAGCTACTAAGTCATGGCTACAAAAGGATAATTTAGGTTTATTTGTTTTTTTGTTTTTTTTTGTGGTTACGAGGTCGGTCAATTTGACCAACCTCGTATAGAATTATGATAGATAAAATAACAAATAAAATATAAAGTTTATTGAAAGAAATGTTTTAAGTTTACTTAAGAGGTTTTAGAGATTATGTAAATACAAAATGTCATGAAGATAAACAAAACATACTAGATGTTTTAGTATGGAAACTATAAAGGTCAATTTGGGGTCACAAACTTGGCTGAATTGGCTGAGCCCATTGCGAAAGGGTTAATATGGCTTTTATATCTTCATGAAATTTAGCAGACATTTAGTAAACATTACAAGTATTTTGCACATAAAAAATCAGATTTTTTAATTGGGGATTTTTACTAAATATTTTTCCATAAATAATATAAAGTCAGAGTGTTGACTGCTCAAAGTGCAAAGTAATTTCATGTTAAGATTGAAAATACTTGACTTCATCTGAAAATTTTCAAATTTCATTTATGTAACCTCAAAAATATACTAAATAAATATCAAACATTTTTTATCAGTACAACTATATATTTTATATTATTTTATGTTTGCTACTCTAACTTTATATGGACTCGGCAGATTTGCCCCTTCTGGTAACCACAATATAAATTACTGATTTATTGCCCTTTCAACTGTGTATATCTAATAAATCTGCCATACAAGTTATAAATCACTCACCAAAAATGTAGCTCATGTTAATGTATTGAATGGCAGAATGCATGAGCTATTTGCGGGTATACTCCTTGAAGAATTTTAGTATTATTTTTCTTCGTTATTTTACCTAATCTAACCTAATAAGTTTCTAATTTTTTACATTTTAGTTAGTTTTATAGTAATAAATAAATAATACACAAGAAATATAGTGCTCAACTTCAAAAATTTCACAAATTGTCCTGTCTGCTCTTTCCCCCATTCCAAAAAATGTAAAACTCTCATAATTTCAAAGTAAAGACATTTTTCTGTCATTTTTTTTAGTGTAAGGTTAAAATATGTAATTAAGTATCCAAGTATGTTGGATGATAAAGAACCCACTTTGAGATTAATAAAGTTTGGTAATGAAGAAAATTTTATTACAAGTTTAACACGGTAACAAACGTACAATATTTCAGTAAGTTTTTATCATCATGACTTTATATATCCAAGTATGTGTTTTCTTCTCATATTGATTTCAGAATATTCTTTACTTATTAACTACCTGTCCCCCCAGTAGCACAGTGGTATGTCTGCGGACTTACAACGCTAGAATCCAGGTTTCGATACCCATGGTGGGCAGAGCACAGATAGCCCATTGTGTAGCTTTGTGCTTAATTACAAATAAACAAACAAACAATATTAACTACCATATGGTTAGTGTTTATATGCATTTTGTGTTTTACATCAGGGGATTGCAAAATACTTTCTTTAACAAGACTACATATTGATCTTCTTCAGGTATACTTGGACAGATTCCTAATCAGTGCGACAGCAAGTACATGTATGTATATTTTGTTTGTATGTTAGCAAGTACAAAACAACAGAATTTACCTGAGCCTTGATTTGTTTTTATTTTGTTCACTCATATAGCCAGAATAGCATTGAGCTCCAATTTTTTTTCCCTACTTTTAAAAACAATTGCCTATTTAAAACATTTCAACAATTAATTTAGATGTTTATTTTAGATTAAAAACTTTCTCTCAATCCAGTGTGTACATTTCAGGAATGTAATTAACAAATTATGGAATATTATACAAATTAGCATGAACTTTTAAACCACAGGTTAACTAGTTATCACATACAGTTGGTTTTTATATTCAATAGTTTTATACTGAAATTAGTGTAATTTTAACCTAATTTTCCTGAAAGGAGGCTGAAGGCTGCCTGGTGTGGTCACATGTTTTAACCACTCACACCACTGTACAGCTGTATGTTATATATTGTGTATATAATACAATATTTCCCCGAAAACAAGACCGAAGGCTGCCTGGGGGTCCGCTTGTCTTAATTTTTTGTACAACTATACAGTAGTGTGTTGTCTGCCAGTCAGTCAGTAGACACTAAAATGATGTCACATGAGGGATGCTTAACATTGCAGCTTGTACTGTCTTGACATCAGTAAAATGTGTGCATGCCATAAATCACAAGAAGGATTATGCACTCTGTAGGCTACAACACAGCATGACAAATGAACTTGAAATAAAAAGATTTGTTAATCTTAATTTTGATTTTATTTACTCTTGAAACAGAACACTTTCAGAGACCTTGTGGAAGTACATCTAGTTTTTATATATTTTGTTTTTTATTAGTTAGCTTGATAATTATTATATATATATATATATATATATATATGTTAAAGACAAAATGTTGTTTCATTAATCACATATCTAAATTAATTTGTGTTACTATATGTTGAAGTAAAAATAACTCAAAACCCCATAGATATCTTGATAATCGTTTACATATATTTTTAATGAGTAATGTTTAGTTTCCTTTGTATAACATACAGAACTATAGTATTATTTGGGGTTAATGTCATCGAAACATTCAGTACAGTACTTCTCAAGGTTGTCATATTTACAGGCAGCTTGTTTCTTAAAAAAAACAAAAACAAAAAACATCCTACATAACTTTCCAATTAAACCATGTTTGTGATCATATCAAGCACACAAAAGTAAATAATGTGTTATGCTCAGAAGTAAACTACTCAAACAATAATTAGTCTGTTACTTTGTTAATTATGAGTATATAAAATACTAAAAAATATTAATTTAAATTAGTAATATCTTCCTTGTGTTTAAGAACTTAGTTAAGTCTGCTTTTTAGAATTTTTCTATAGCTCATTTTTTGTAACCACGATTATTATAAGTTTAGAGTTTAGTTTAGCAGTGGGATTAGTTTGAAGTGTGCGGTTACCTCTTCTCCATTTCTTGGTAGATTGTGTCAATAACAGTAAGTGATAGTGTTCGCTGTGTGCGCATATACAAGATATTTAAATATAGACTCACAATGAGTTTATAGAATTTTAGAATACTGGAAAATAAATATTATAAGGTTAGCACAGATAAATCAATTTGAATTTGAAACATTAAGAAAAAGCTTGAAGAACTGTGCATAAAATGTCATTCAACTTTCTAACTTAGCATGATTACTGGATTGTATGTTTTTTGTTTTTTTTATAAATTTAAATCTTATTGTTGTTATTCCATAGCATGCTAAAAGTCTTGTAACTTGTGAGTACCAGTATAAAAAACAAAATCGAAAAAAGGGGGAGCTAAGAAATGCAGGAAAATTTTTTTAAAATAAAAATGAATTCACCATATAGAAAATTACTTTGGTTTATCTATGTCTCTAATAAAATAATTCAATTATAAGGTTAACAGTAATAGTAATAATGCCTTCAGAAATTGGTTGGTTTCTAGACTTGCTGATAAGGTATGATTATATATGCATCAATTTTAGATTACCTTATTTGGGTGGTTTAAAAAAAATGCAGTATTTTGGAGGGACCTCAAATACATTTGGTTTTAAAACTTTTATTCTAGTAGTGATAAAAGTTTGTGAAAAATAGTTGAATTGTACATACACATGTACCTCTTTAATAGATTGTTTGTTTTAACTTAGTGTTATTTGGCTTGTACTTTGAACTTATTGTATCGACTATTTAATTATAGTTTTGTTAGTCAGAAGTTTCCTTTGATATTTGATATCATTGTATCATATTTTTATATAGGTCCTTCGATGTATTCTCAAAGTCAAACCATTACACCCTCTACAGTGAAGAGTGTGGACATACGATCGGGTGTTGTAAATGCTCATAGACTTCCTGGAAGACCTAAACCATGGAAATGATATACTTATATAATTAGAGTCATGTAAGCTAAATGAGAGCAAGAACATAGATATTCAGCTCAAAAAAAAAAAATGTTGTTCTTTGAACATTTTAAATAGTATATTGAAGATGAATAATTTTAGTAATCAAAAACAAATTCACATATTTTTAAGCCAGGGTTTTGTATTCCTCATTATTTAGGGTGAAATATTAATTTAAATATTCAGGTATTCTGCTTATTTGACAAACCAATATTTGCAAAAATACAAATTTAAAAAAAATGTGTAGAGTAGTAAGCTGTATGGGCTTTCTAACAGATATATATATATATATATATATTCTGTGATATATATA